GGCACTTCCAGAAGCAGCGTGGGAGTACAACAGCAGGGCCAGAAATGTTAGAAAGACTGGGTCCAGCCCACAGCCTGTATTTTCCCCACTCCTGCCCAGGTAGGTATTTACAAGCTGTAACCAAGTCACCTGTTAACCTGCTCTCTGTTAAACTAAACAGAGTGAGCACCTGGAGCCCTTTGCTGTCAGGCCTTCTCGTGACTCTTCTCTGATCCTTCTGCAGCACCAGTGCCAAGTACAGTGGTAAAATAATCTCTCTGTTCCCACTTGAGATTCGCCAAGATTGCTTTAGCTCTTTTGGCCACTGCTTTGCCGTGGGAGCTCACGTTCAGCTGATTATCCATTGTGAGCCCCATATCTTTGCTAGTGTCCCCCATCCTGTAAGCATAGAATCCTAGAATCCTAGGGCTGGAAGAGACCTCAGAAGGTCATCGAGTCCAGCCCGCTGCTCAAAGCAGGACCAACCCCAACTAAATCAACCCAGCCAGGGCTTTGTCAAGCCCGGACTTAAAAACCTCTAGGGAGGGAGATTCCACCCCCTCCCTAGGAAGCCCATCCCAGTGCTTCCCCGCCCTCCTAGGGAAATAGTTTTTCCTGATATCCAACTTAGACCCTCCCCACTGTAACTTGAGACCATTGCTCCTTGTTCTGCAATCCGTCACTACTGAGAACAGCCTCTCTCCATCCTCTTTGGAACCTCCCTTCAGGAAGTTGCTTCCCTTCTATCGATCTATCCTTATACACTCCCTCTGTCTGTCTATGCCTATATATCTCCCCTGTTTCCCTATCCCCACACCCTTGCTTCATGTCATAGAACATTCACACACACACACATCCGTGTGCGTACACCATTGCTCTCCAACCTTTTTGAGCGCAAGATCACTTTTTGAATGTAAGTGCAATCCACCATCTACCTCAAACCCCACCTCCTTCGTGCCTCTTCTCTGAGGCCCTGTCCCTGCTCACTCTGTCCTCCCTCCCTCCCCCATCCTCCCTCTCTTTCACCAGGCAGGGGCAGGGGCAGAGGATTGGGGTGCAGGCTCTGGTTTTGAGCTAAGGCATTTGGAATGTGAGTAGAGCTCTAAGCTGAGCCTGGGGCAGGGAGTTGAGGTGCAGGAGGGGTACAGACTCTGTAAGGGAATTTGGGTCCAGGAGGCTCGGGGCTAGGGCAGGGGTTTGGAGCTGGCTCCAGCTGGGCACTGCTTACCTCATGTGGCTCTTGGGTGGTGGTGCAGTGGGGCTAAGGCAGACCTTCCACCACTCCCAAAAGCAACCAGCAAACCCTCAAATATAGAGAGATTAGATTAGACCAGTGGTCTCCAACCTTTTTAAGCACAAGATCACTTTTTGAATTTAAGTCAGTCCATAATCTACCTCATACCCAAATAACCCTGCCCTTCCCCTTCTCCAAGACCCTGTCCCACCCCTTCACAGAGGCTCTGCCCTCCTCATTCTGTGAAGATGGTGTACAGGAGAGGGGGACATAGTAACATCAGCACCTCCCTGCCTGTGTCTCCCGCACCTTGCAAAACAAACAGGAGGCTCCAAGGAGGCAGCTCTGAGACTCTGGGCAAGAGCAGCAGGACAGTACGGGGAGGGGCAGCTGAAGTGCACTGCTTGGTAACTGCTTGGCCAAAACCTGTCAGGATGTCAAAGGCGCCAAGATCTAGCTGTTTGGTGACCACTGGTGTACACCCTCATCTGCCCATCACAGCTGCCTCTGGCCTTAGAAAAAATTAAAAAACAACAATGGTCCTGATACACCTTAGAGACTCACAAAAATATATAAATAGTATCATGAGCTTTCGTGGGCACAACCCACTTCTTTAGATGACAAATATTTGTGCCCACGAAAGCTCATGATACTATTTATATATGTTTGTGATCCTCTAAGGTGCTACAGGACCATTGTTGTTTTTTAAGTTTTTTTAGTTGCAGACTTAGGGTGCATCTACACACCACCCCAAACTCGAAATAAGCAACTATGCAAATTGCGTATCTTATTTAGAATCTATTTCAAAATCACTTATTCTGAAAATTGGTGCATCTACACAGTGCCATATTTCAAAATAATGTGCCATTTCGAGCCATTCCTTATTCTTCGTGCAACGAGGTTTTCCGGGATGGCAAAACAGTGCGCCCATTATTTCGAAAACTATTTTGAAATTACAGGCGGTTTGTGTAGACTCGGGGTAGCTATTTCGGGATACCTCCAGTATCCCGAAATAGCCATGCGGTATAGACATACCCTAACACAGTTACCCCTCTGGCCTGACAGTGAATTCCAGGGGTTGGAACAAGGATGAGGAACACAAATAAATCTCAGAAATGGGCACTAGAGTTGGCGCAGGGCATAGAGGAGTGTGCCCAAGCTTAACAGGATGGATGTGAGCAGGAGCCTAGCTCTGTTGGTCTCAGGATAGGAGACAAAGTGGGTGAAACATGTCACTGAACCAACTTCTGTGGATGGAAGATAGAGACATGCTTCCCAGCTTCACAGAACTCCATGTCTGGGGTGTGTGGCAGCTGTGAAGAATGCAATGCCTGTGAGACCTAATGGGCATCAACTAGGAAGAGAGGAGGAACCATGCAGAGCAGCTGAGCTGGGGTAGGAGAGAATGGGAGTCCCAGAATGTCCCCATTTTGGTGACCAGCAGGTGAGGGGGAGGCAGACTGGCCCCTCTATGATTCTCATGACTAGGCCCCAAGCAGCCCTTGCCTTACCCTGGGGGCAGTTGTGTTTCTCAACCAGCGGTATGCGAACCCTTAGGGGTACTTGAGAGAAGTCTGGGGGTACGCCAACACAACTGAAATTTGGAAAAAACTGAATTTTTGTTTTAAGTTTTACAGCGCTTTATTATTTTTGTACTTTTTACACTCAAAAATTTAATCGTCCGCCTAGCTACGATTAAGTTGTTTAAACAAATGTGTTGCAATGGTAAAAAAAAAATTGTGTGGCTGAAAACTGTAGGTACTGGGGGTACTTATAATTTTTTTTTTTATTTAGAAAAAGGGGTACTTTATTAAAAAAAAAAAGGTTGAGAAACAGTGTATTAGACTATCTAAAACCCAGGATGGCAATGCCCAGCAGGCTCTCCCCAGTCCCTCTTCATGGCTAGGCCAAAGGGGAAATGGCTCCTAATAACCAGTATCTTGTTCAGTCTAGTCTCAAATGCCCTAAAGCAGTGGAAAGTCTCAGAGGGGCAGCTGTATTAGTCTGGATCTGCAGAAACAAGTGAGAAGTGTTCACACAATATATATATACTCCTGCCTCTGTAACTTCCACTCCATGCATCTGATAAGGTGGGTTTTACCCACAAAAGCCTATGCCCCAATAAATCTGGTCATCTCTAAGGGTATGTCTAGACAGCAGGGCTATCCCGAAATAGCTACCCTGTGTCTTTTAAACGTGCCCATTATTTCAAAATATTTTTTTTAAATAATGGGCATGCTATTTTGGCATCCCTGTAATCCTGGTTCCACAAGGGTTAAGGGATGTGTTGAAATAGCGTGTTATTTCAAAATCTGGCACTGTGTAGATGCGCCAAATTTCAAATTACAAGTGAAATAAGATACGCAATTTGCAGAGCGTAAATTGTGTATCTTATTTCAAGTTTAGGCTGCTGTGTAGAGGCACCCTTAAGGTACCACAGGACTCCTCCTTGTTTTTGCTAAAGCAGTGGGGCTTCCATCCCCCTGGGAAGGACAGACACAGATATCTCCTGGCCAGTGGGCGCTCTGACATGGGCCAACACCTCAGAGCTGCCAGTGGGACGGGAGGCTGTGGGGCTTTGATTAGGAGGACAGTCCTAGTGTAGCCAAGACCCCGCTGCACGGCGCCAGCGGGAATGCCTTTTGCTGCACACGCTCACACACCAGCTCCCTGCTACAGGAGGGGAAACTGAGGAAGGGAGCGAGGAGGCGCTAGGGCCTGAAGCCCTGACTGGCCCCTCTGATCCTGGTCAGTGGCTCCCACAGGCTCAGCTCCCAGCAATGTGAACTTCGCAGGCTGCCCGGCGGGTCCCGTGCGCGCTGCGCCATCGGGACCGGGACCCCGGGCTCAGCCAGTGTCCCAGCGGCCCCGCACGCAGG